TCTCATTGTAGGCAAAAGATTATTGTAAAAGACGGGCCTCGTTTGCGCTTACTTGTGTTGAGCACCAATTCAAATAAAAAAATGTAGAATGCCGAGCCCTCCATCCAAAAAATATAATGATTTGAGTCCTCACTGTAGGGTGAAATCAGATTCCTATGCTACAACTGTTTTGTTATGTGCACTGCAATGCAGCTCTGCCTTTGCATGATAACAACATTATTTGTTCAAGCAAACGAAGAGGAGGTAAAAAACTTTGGTCTAATCCTTTTAACGATTTATGAAATTTTGTTAGAATTTCCTACCTAGATTTACTGGTTTTGCTATTTTCCCAGATAAAAGATAATCTCAGTGTCCGCTGTGCGGAAAAGCTTATTCCTGTCATAGAATACTAAACTAACACCTTTTGGATATCCGTAAAAGTGAATCACGCAATCGCAATCAATTTGGACAGCTCATTATGCATGAACTATTTTAAAGAGGGCGTTTGGATTCCAGGAATGCAAAAACTGATTTATCAAAATGACGGGTTTTTGTTATTTTACGTTTGATGAAGTACATAAGTCAGATGCTTTCGTCTCAATGAATCATTCACCAACCGATGTGATTTAGACTACCACATCCCTGCAATTCATAAGATCTGCTCTAATGCCCCTTAAAAGGTCTTTAAAATTATCTTATATCTAATTAGGTTTGATAACTTTGTTTTAGGTAAAAGTCATTTGCCAATCAGCATTGTCATAAAAAGTTGAGGAATCTCAGCACGCTGAGCGATTGCATATTAGAGGTCCTCGACAGTGAAGATTCCTAAATTTGATCCTTTATTGTCTGGCAAGTAAGTCACTTTCGGTGTTTAAGACATTTACTTTCTGGATCTCAAAATTTTAGAGAGGACTCCATTTACCTGCCAATATTGCTCTACATCCTTCTTGCGCCGAGGTAATTTAAATCTTCACATTTCTGAAGTCCATGAGGGTAAGTTGAATACGCTCTAATATTTATTGTAAATTCCAAGCATTTACTCTCAGTAATTATGTGGTATTTATCTCCCCAATTTCTGCTTTTGTAGGGTGGCTTTATTGCTGCAAGTATTGCAATGAATCCTTTTCACAGCGGAGCTGCACGAATAGACATATTGCTGTAAAACATGAAAGAGACTTAAATAATTCCTAAAAGTGCTTCCATTTTCTTATATTTTTACCTGCAATTAAACATAATTTTGTTCTATCTACTTCGCCATATCCTTAGGGAAGTCCTTCAATGAGGTCATCTCCCACGGTGTATTACAATTTACTCGAAAAGAGGAACTGTTTGGAATTTTCGCATTGTAAAATATTATTCTAACCTCTTAGTAGGTAGCTTTTTTCATATTAATGGGTATACGACATACTTTTTCCTGTTTCCTATTTCTTTAATTAGGATATGCTATAATCAAGTGATCATTTGTAAATGCTGCAAGAAACCATTCAATACTGCTGTGAAGTTAGCTGTATTTTGAGAAGCTAAATCCACTATGAGG